GAGGAGAGGCTGAGGGAGCTGGGCTTGTTCAGCCTGGAGAAGAGAAGGCTGAGAGGGGACCTTCGAAATGCCTCTAAATATCTGCAGGGTGGGGGTCAGGAGGACGGGGCCAGACTCTTTGCAGTGGTGCCCAGTGACAGGACAAGGGGCAACGGGCACAAACTGGAGCCTGGGAAGCTCCAGCTGAACCCGAGGAAGAACTTCTTCCCTCTGAGGGTGACGGAGCCCTGGCCCAGGCTGCCCAGGAAGGTTGTGGAGTCTCCTTCTCTGGAGATATTCCAGACTCGCCTGGACAAGGTCCTCTACAGCCTATTGTAGGTGACCCTACTTTGACAGGAGGGTTGGACTGGGTGACCCACAGAGGTCCCTGCCAACCCCTGCCTTTCTGTGATTCTGTGATTCTGTGACCTTCACGTGGACCTCTCACCCCAGCCATATTTTTGTGCTTGATGATTTCCAAGCACGTTCCTGCCTGGCATCCTCAGGTTTGTTGTTCCCCTATGCGTTGCTGACGTTGAATATAAAATATCGCCTGTCCCTGTCTGGATGATCGTGCTGTCGTTCTGTCCTTCTGCATTTACCTTGTGAACTTTTCCACGCTGTGGGTGAATTTGCTGTTCACCAGCAGCCTGGAAGGTTCCAGCCTGGAGGAATATGTTTCACATGGTACTTGGAGAAGTCTGACTGGTTCAGCTTTTACCACAGATACTAAAACCAGTGCACACCATCATTCCAGATGCTTTTGTAGGACTGCTAGCTAAGAGACCAAATATGAAGTTCACCCATTGAAAGAAGAACAAGTGTAGTGCAGAGAAGATGTTTCTGCAGTGGAGAGTTCCCTTCTGCTTCGAGAGCAGAGCTTGCAGTAGGGTGAGCTGCAGGTGGACACGGGGGTTGATGTTAGTGGAGATCTTGTACTGACATCTTGAATGGAAACCTGGAGAGGACGCAGGAGCCAGAGAGCGGACTGGAGACCACGTCAGAAGATGGCGGTGAAAGCCTTTCGCTGGTGGAAGGAGGTCCAGCTGGAAGGCGAGCTGCTGACGCTGCATGGGCCGTGGGAGCGGACGGGGCTGGTGGCTGCCGAAGCGAGGGGAGGCTGGGATCACAGAGGGGTGGTGGTGGGAAGGGACCTCTGGAGATCGGCTAGTCCAGCCCGCGGTTTAACGCAGGGTCAGCTAGAGCACGTAACTCAGGAGTGTGTTCGGTCGCGGTCTGGTTTTGAGTTCCTGCAGGGGTGGAGACCCCCAGCTTCTCTGGAAACCTACTCCTGTCTCCCATCGTTCTTGCAGTAAAGAAGTTTTTCCTGAAGTGGAATTTGTGTGTTGCAGTTCACGCCTGTTGCCTCTCGCCCCTTCTCTGGGCACTGCTGAGAAGAATGTGGCTCCGTCGTCTTTACCCCCTCCACCCCAAATGCCAAGCCAGGAAAAGCCAAGAAGCGCAGGTCTTCCAGCTGCTCGTGTGTCCCTCCTTCCCTGGCAGGAGCCGAGGCTTCCTCTCCTCTCAGCAGAAGACTTTTAAAGAGGCATCTTGAAAAAACTGGAATAGATAAAAGTGTAATGGCTGCATCTCAGGTGACCACATGACCTTTCCAAAGGTTCAGCTGTAAAGGAGGTTTGATGACGGGAGTGTCAGCATTAGGAATACGCAGGCTTAATCTTTGTCAGCGTTGGTGACTCTTGATATCAAGAGAAAGCATTTTTTTTCCTGCTTTTAGTGACATCTTTTCTTGCACCGTGTAACTTTTGACGTGCAGTTCGAAGAACTTCATTCCTGAAGAGCAGCATGAAAATACAGTTGAATTTCTGAACCTGTTAGTTCACCTTGCTGATGGAAGAAGCCTGGAATTAATTCAGTGGGAAACGCTTGTGTTGTCTTAAATACTTTCTGGCCTTACATGTGGAGATTACTCAGCTCCAATTTCAGAGCAAGGACGAGAAATCAGTTGTCTCCAGGAAAGGGAGAGCTGCTCAAATTCACTTTTTCCACAGAATCACAGAATCACAGAATAGTAGGGGTTGGAAGGGACCTCTGTGGGTCATCTAGTCCAACCCCCCTG